GAAGGCATTGGTGAGGGGGGAGAAGCGCTGCTATACATTGCTCCTGCCCTCCCCTTGGGGAATGAATCTGTCCTAGAGTTGGACATCCTGTCTTAACTAGCCTAGCTATCCAGTTGTCCCGAAAGCTAGAAAAAAACAAACTGTTTGGGTAGGTCTGTGTCTGGCTAAAGGTCTGCCCCTCCCTGAGGCAGCCCAGCAACAAAAGAAAAAACAAAAGGAAAAACTGCAAAGCTTGCAACTCAAAAGAAACTTGTGCCCTTTTAAAAATCCTGGGTTCTCCAAATAATCCCACTGGAGCACGTGAGTGTCATGGCTCCTTCCCCACTCTGGCATGATAAATGCAGAAGTGGGGGCCAGCAAGTGTACCCCAAAGCCTTATCTACCAGGCTTTGGTATAAAACTTCCCCCAAGATCTTAAAAACCTAGATCTTGGGAATAAAACTTCCGCTGCCACCACCCAAACGTTGCTAAAGAAACCAGGGGAAAGATCATTTGGGAAATCTTCCCCCTAAAACAAAAATCAGGGCACACCATTAACCACTGCCAGGTTAAGAAAAGAAAAGAAAGAACTTTTATTATTACAACAATAGTCTGGTTGCAAGTATAATGACTAGATGGGAAGGTAACAAAATACACTCCTGGAGACACTCCATGGGCCTAGAACTTAGTTACAAAGAAAAGCCAAAACCTCTTTTAAGCAGGGCCAGATCTCAGATCCCATCCCCAACCCTTAAAACAATAAACCCTAACGAAACTACCTAACCCTTACCCTACTTACAGAAAGTGAAGAATGGTGTCTTGGAGAGAGAGAGAGAGAGAGAGAGAGAGACAGACATGCTTGTCCCTCTCTGTAGCTGCAGAGGACTCACCCAGAGGAACAAAAGGAAAAACCCCAAATTCCTTTGTCCCAGTTTGAAAAGTCCCACCTACATTCCTACTGGTCACTCCACCTGGCTAGGTGTAGTTAACCCCTTAATCCCCAGGCTGCTGGCTAACCCTCATAATCATGACAGTGAGTCCCCCCGCAGGCCCCAGGGGAGGGGATGCTGCTGAAAGACCCCTTGCCTAGTGGTTAGAGCAGGGGGGCTGGGAGCCGGGGCTCTTGGGTTCTCCCCCTGGCACCATAAGGGGCATGTGGCCTAGTGGTTAGAGCAGGGGGGCTGGGAGCCGGGGCTCCTGGGTTCTAACTCTGGCCCTATAAGGGCAGTGGGGGCTGGGAGCCAGAGCTGCTGGGTTTGGCTCCTCCCAGAGCCCAAAGGGACCCATTGGCAGGTGGCTGGTAGGTCCCACGGGGGAGGAAATGAAACCAAACCTGCTGGCAAACCTGTTTTTCTAGGCTGTCAGGGGCCTGGGGTCCTGCCCTGCTGAGCAGGGGGCCCCAAACTCCCCAGTGCCCAGCTACTGAGGGGCCTGGGTGCTGCGTGTAGCCGGATCCTACCTGGGCTGTGGCCCTGTGTCTGCCAGGCCTGGGATCTGAACTGACCCAGCAGGGAGGAGTGGGTCTGCCCCAGGTCACCTGCACCCCAGCCCCCGTTGTGCCGTGTGCAGGCCGGGCTGGCCAGGAGGCGGGGTGCATCAGAGGGTTATCGGGGCCCAGCCCCCGGCACGGAGCTCAGCACCGCTGCGCCAGTCTCTCCCCGACGGGCGGGGCAGCGTGTGCGCCGGCGTTGCTGCTTTGCGTGCATGCGAGATGGAGTTCCAGCGGGGGAAGCTGGCAGCCGTGGCTCCTGGGTGCTGCACATGGCTCTGGGAGAGGAGGAGAGGGGGGTAGTGGTTAGAGCTGGGGTGGGGGGAGGCTTGACAAGCAGGACTCCTGGGTCCTCTCCCATGTGTGGAAGGGGAGTGGAGTCTAGTGGGTAGAGCAGGGGAGCCCAGGTCTGAGAGCGGGCTGGGGTGAAGGCCCCTGCTCTGGTTGGTCTCTCATCAGGCGCTCCCCTTCCCAGGCTCGAGGGGCCACTGCCCCCCACGGTGCAGGTGCAGGGTGACCAGCTGGTGGTACCGTCCGTGGACGCAGCCGTGAACACGACCTTCGTCTGCCAGGTCACCAACAGCGAGGGCACGAGCCGGGTGGAGCAGCTCGTCCTGGTGCGAGGTGAGAGCGGGGGCGCTCTCCGGGGGGAGGTCCTGCGGGGCCCCCTCTTGGAGGGGGGTCCAGCCCCTCCTCCCCCTCCCCAAGGCGTTGCTCAGGCCTGGGAGCAAGGGGGGCAGCGGCCATGCAGGGAGAGCTGCTTGGAGAATGGGATGCACCGTGTTGCCTTGCCTGGGGGTAGGGTGGGTCTCCCCCACTTCTGCTAGAAGCTGCAGCCCCCCCCCCCCCCTCGA